AGAAACAAGATTGGGAATGTTGAGAGCTATAAGCTACACATAGAAAATGATCAGACCTGTGAAATGCTACGAGATGGGTTGAATTCTTATTGATGCCTAGCCAGGATGGATCTCCCAAGTTAGGAATGAACCTGCTAAATGCATCTGTAAAAGTTCAAGCCATTTTTTTTAGAGAGAATGGCATATGTAATCGCCATGAGTCAGAGTGGACTTGATGACAAACAGCTATAGGCACAAATCGATACTAGTACTTTAAATGGAGGGTGTATGTGAATGTGGGTTACATCACAAACACACTCTATCACAACTTAACACACTATTAAATGATTGGTGATGCTGAAAGAAAATTTTCTGAAGAATCAGTAATAAGGAACTAATAATGATCAACCGTGTTAGAGGAAAACCACATCGGGTTACCCATTAAGCAAGGTAAGCACAGGCTTACTTTTGCGTACTTACAAATCTGGGGTGAACGCTTGCAGTTTTTCACCACACCAAAGATTTTTGTTTGTATGCATGGCTGGCAGATGTCTCTCTCACAACCCCACTGTCTTCTGACAGAATCAGTCTTCAAGTTTACTTCCCTGACAGGGACAGAAAGCCTGATCTGGTGATGTAATGGTTACAACCTCAAGTTCAGCAGGTCAATGGTGGGATTCAGCCAATTGCCACTGGTTCAGCAGAACCATTACCTATTTTTTGGTTGAGTTCAGTGGGTGCATCAGTTGTTAAAACAGCACTTACAATCAGAGTTTTCTCTAAGGTGGGTGGCTGCCCAATGTAGAAATCATAAATTTCCATTTCTTACCCTCTTTTAGGGCTCATCTGCGTAACTATGTATTCTAAGTGCTTGTAATGATGTTCATTTCGTCCATAGTTATAAAAAATTAGATGGAATTATGCTTGTAATATTTATTTATTCATTTCATAGTTAGTTATACTTAACATTTTATTGGCATATAGGTAGTTCACATATCATACAGTAGTTCAATCAAATCAAGAATTGTTCAATCATCACTATAATCAGTTTTAGAATATTTTTTCCATTCTTGTTTTCATCATTATTAGCTCCCCATTTCCCTTTAACCTACCCTGGCATACCCCTCAGGAATGATTAATCCAGTTACTAAGTCTATAGGTTTACTTATCTTGGATTTTATATATAGAAAAGTATTTTTTTAAAAACTCATAGTACAATAACAAAGTAAAACAGACAAAACCTTCCATTGAAAAGAAAGCAGAAAATATTAGTTATTAGAACACTTTTCAATGGATCATAAGGGACATAAAATGATAGGGCCCTAAATTTTAACCTCACTGCATCTGCAACAATCCACTTTCCAGTACATTCTACAAGAGAGCAAAACTATTTGCATCCCTGGTCCATGATCAGAGGAACTTAATCCACATGTATTTCCCCTTCACCTTTTAAAACACTGAAGCATGGGCCATGTTTAAAATGGGCCAAAAGGGAGCCCAAAGGATAAGATATTACATTTTGATCCAACTATGTCTGCTGCAACCGACTTTGCAATGCTTTCTTTCTGATAGCAGGGCTATTCACATCCCTCAAATGAAAGACTACATTTTTATTCCCTTGTGTTTGTTACTTCAGTGAACTAACATATAACATAAAGAGAAAAAGCGCCAAACATCCAGAGAGTGCCACACCATCATTCTTTCTGCTTTGAGTTATGCCCCAAATTTCCACGAGATCTTATGAGTGTGAATTATGCAATTCCTGAAAGTGTTCAAAGAGCTAAAAATATTGTTTGAACAATTGTTGTAAGTTCAGTAGAAGTGGAATGAGGGTTTTCAAAGATGAACATATGTTCAGAGAAGAGAAGTCACCTGTTTCTAATCTATCAAACAATGACTATTGCCTAATGGGCCTAGCTCTAAAAGAATGGGATCCTCTTCCTACAGTGAAAAGATGGATAAGGATAAATCACACAGCCATTGATGCTCAGATCAAAGTGAAGAGAATATGGCAAGTGAGGATGCCAATCAAGCTGCAATATGGAAATATCTTAAATAACAGTTTTATTATTTTTGTCAGGTATTATTTAATATTTTTCATTAACATTTTAAAACTCATAAAAATCTAGTTTTGTGTATTTCTTTTATTGTTCTTATTTAAGTATTAACTGATGAAATAATAAATTATCTTTTGGTATACTTTTTTAATGCTTAAAATGGCCATTAGGGCAGTGAACTGATTGCTAAATATTCTAATCTCATCACTGCCCCAGGCGCTTTGACGAAGAAAGACGAGGGCTTTTTATTCCTGTGAAGAGTTACAGTCTCAGAAACCCACAGGGGCACTTCTACCCTACCCTATAGGATGACTAAGAGTCAGAATCCACTCGATGGCAGTGAGTTTGGTTTTTGGACAGGGATGGAGTACTTGGTAAGCAAGGGGTGTGCATAAAAAAAAACCTTTCTCTCATCTTTATCTCTCAGCCAGGCTAGTGTTTGAATTTTTCTATTAGCAGGGCTCCTCTATGAATTCAAAGATGTGATTAAAAATATGGGAAATTGTTGACTACAGATGAGTAAATAAGCACAAATCAACCCGTGCCTACCTTGCTTCATAAGCCAGTAATTCACCCCAGGGAAGATTGAAATATCTTTATATCCCTTTTTGGAGAAAATAATTTTATGAAATTATTGTCACATGAGGAAGAGATCAACAAGCAGGTGTGCAAAAGATGCGTAGCAGGCATCGTGGGTCACCATAAGTTAGCATGGACTCTATGGCAGTGAGGGCAGGCAATACTAGATAACAATATTAGGTTGATACCTACTTGAAAAAAGAGAGAATAAGATGCATATACGAGTATCGTGCCAGACCTAATACTCCAACTATGAAGATATGATCAAATGTGTCTTAAGATGTCCCCTGAACTATAGGGTCTCTCTGAGTTGGAACTGATTTGAGTGAGTTTGGTTTGAGTTTCTTCCAAGTATGACAATCAATAAAACATTTGGCCTGGATTCTTCCAAACGCCAATGTACTAAGAGACTTGGGAGAGAGAGAGAACAATGACACAGAAGATGCAGAAAATTAGCATTTGGAAATCTGGGTTAGGGTATATAGAAGCTTTTCGTGCCATTTTTCCAATTGAAAAATTAGAAATGCTATCAAAATTAAAAGTTACAAAATGACCCTAAAATATTGTATTCTCTCCCACCCCGGATTTTGTGATGTTTGCGGTATTTTTCCATTTCTGAATGTGTCAATTTTTTTTCTGATGGCTTTTCTCATTCTAAATAGTCATTTTCATACCCACTCTTTGTATTTGAGATTTTTTTACTCCTTTTCTAAAAAGGGACACCCCCACTCCCCACAAACCACTGTATGAGCATTGCACCGTGCAAAATTTGGATCATCCCAAACTGTGTACTTCTAACACCAAAAGGCCAATAGTAGTAAAATTGTTCATTTTTTAACAGCCATGAAGACATTGAGCTCATTCTTCGAGGATTAAAATGAATTTCTATTGAAGAAAGAAAATATACAGTCTGTGTATTATTTTTCCTTTTCCCTTCTGAAATATTTCAAAGCAATAGAAAAGTTGAAATAATGAATTGAACACCTATTCATTCACTTTTCACCTGTTTAACTTTTTGACAAATTTGTTCTATTTTCTTATCTAATTCATTTGAAAGTACCTAAATTTCTGACATGACACTTCATCTTCACATACTTCAAGAATTCCTTTGAGCAAGGACATTATCCCATACTATGTAGTCACAATAGTGTTATCACACCTTAAGAAATTTAAAAGAGGCAAGATGGTTAACATTCTTGACTGTCAAGCAAAAAGTCAGAGTGCAACTTTATGGGAGAAAGATAAGACAGTCTGTTTCCAAAAAGATTTAGAGCTTTGGAAACCTGATGGGGCAGTTCTACTCTGTCCTATAGACACCACAGACAATGCTTTTAAAAATAGTTTTTAAAAGTAAATTAACATTGGCATAATTTTGTCTTAAATCCTCCAATGTTATCAGATAATATGCCTTAAGGCTTTTTTGTTTTGCACACCCAGGGCCCAAACAAACCTCAAGTTGTTTTATCTCTTTAATTTTCTCCAGTATGCCTTTTTGTTTTTCCTAATACAGGCATTTTACAAGAGTCCTGTGTTTTGACACATACTTTGAAATTGTCCCAGAGGTTGACTTTTTGTCTTTCCATAATGTAGATATTTGCAAGAGTCCTGGACAAAGATTTTACAAATTGCCCCGCATTTTATAAATATAGCTATTTCCTCATAGTTAGATTCTAGTTAAACTTTTTTTGTTGTTGCAAGACAATCTAGGTGATTATTTTTCGAGTACTGTACATCCCATCAGACGGCATATGAAGTAAGATCGCCGGCGCCTTATTAGTGATTTTGTGTGTCATTACTGTTGGTCAATTGGTTAAAGTGACTTATACATTTTTGAACAAAACAAAACAAGGCAAAAATCCCCAAACTTACTGCCATTGAGTCGATTCTGAGGTGGTGACTTTTCTAAAAATCACGTAGCGATCATGTTAACTCTGAGAAGCAAACTAGTCAGCAAAACTCAGAGCGCGCAGCAGGAGGCAGTCGCTTTCCCAGGCTGCTGAGGAAACGGGCCAGCCACGCCCACCCTCTGCCCGCCCGAGCTTCTTTTCTCAGAAAATCAGCTCTCAGAACCACAGAGCTCCTACTCCCACGCGCCCGATTCTTGTTCCCTCAGCATGCGCGCGCGCCTGCGCAGCCAGTCTCCAGGAGGCTCCTTTTCAGCGCCCGACCGCTTTTTTTTTTTTGCTCTCCTCAGGCTCTCCTCAGTTCCAGCTTCCCCTTAGGGGTCATCACAGGGCGCCAAACGAGAGCCCGCGGGAAGGCCGGGGGCGGGGCGAGCCGCGGCGTCGCGCGTAAGTGGCCTTCCGGGCGGAAGTCCGCAGCCTCCGGAGTCTCTGATTGGCTTTCGGGCTGGCGCCTGACTCGGCCCCCGCGCTCGTTTCAGGCAGGTTGGCGCGGAATCGAGCGATTCGGGGACCATGGCGATGGTGCCAGGCGACAACTGCGAGCCGGGGCCGAGCGGTGAGGGCCAGCCCCGCGCGCGGGATGTTCGATTGGGAGTGCGGGGATCGTGGCTTGATTGCTGACGGTGGGGGGTTTAGTGTTCCCCCTTTTTATCCCTAAACGAAGCACGCGCCCGGCTTGTCCCGCGCGTGGGTCTGTGAGGGCGCGAACCACCATCACCTTGGGTGGGGTCTCTTCGGGCTTTAGAAGGAGGTTCCTCGGAGGTCCTTTTGGTCCCGGGGTGCTTTTTGTTGGGGAACCTGTCTCACTTTTGTTACCGCGAATCATAGCACCCGCCTTTTTATTTCTTTTGGTGAGTTTACCTCACGTGCCGGGCGTCTCGTCGTCGAGACTGGGGCACTGTCCTCACTCCTCCGCCAAGTATCCCTGTGAGGACTAGGATAAAACTGACGTGCCGCCCCCCTTTTAGGGATTTCTAGGGAACTCGTGCTTTGTAACTAAGGCAAGAGCACCGTTAAGTGCTATCGCCAGATTAAAAAAATGCGTCTCGTCTTTTGAGGTAATGGGTTTCTACTTTATGCGTTAAATTCTGCATTTTTTCTCGCCCCCTTTTCCGTGGAAAGTTCCTCACGTGCTGTACAGAACTAATGTTCAGAATTAGTCATTTCGGGTCAAGTGTCTTTTCTTTAAAGCATTAATTTAGCGTCATTTTGGATGCCCAGTTTCTCCCTCAGTTTGTGGCAGTCGTTTTATTTCCACATACCAGGCACGGGAATGCAGGTAGCTTGGGCTGATGTTTTGAACAGTGTTCGATTAAAGTGTGAATTTAACTTCTGTGAACTTCAAACGTGGCATCAGATGCGTCCTATCGTAGCCCAGGCGCTTCCTAGCCTGTCACTCAAATATGCCACCATTAATGAGAACTCGCTGCCTAATCAGCTCCCTTTGCATCCACCTGCTTGTGAATCAGAGCTTTCAATTTGTTATTGCCGTCGTTTTTTACCGGCCCCCCCCCTCCTTAAAGACAATTTCCTTTGGAGAGGCGATTGGCCTGGATTACAAATGGGATGTGGGCGTGTGAACAGGCTGTGCAGCTCTCGATGATTTGCCACTAAACCCTTTTCTTACCCTAAAAACTGCGTCATCTGTGAGCATCAAGAAAATCACTCTCTGGGCGATGTCGTGCAATCTTGAGCCCACTCTTCAGTCATGGTGTTGATTAAGTAGTTGCTGGGCTTGTGACTGAAATCTGTTCCTTTAGAGGTGACTGAAAGATGATTAGCAGAGACTATTGAAGGAAAATCTCTCTTTTCCATCCTCTTCGCATAGATCAGGAAGTGTGGGATTTTGACAAAGGCAGGGAAGAGGTGAAAGGCGGATTAAAAAACCCATGCCCACTACTATGGACTTGGTACCCAATAGGCCAGAGCAGAACTGCTCCTTAGGATTTCTGAGACTGTCAATCATTATGAAGGCAGACAGCCTCATCTTTGCCTGCAAAGGCCTACATATAGCTATTATCATAGATGAGAAGGTCTTAGGGAGAGCTTAATGATTAAAAAAAAGACAAATGGTTTATGAATCTGTTTATTTAGCCTGTATATATTATGTACCTATACTCATAATCAGGGTGATGACAGTGAGTTTTTGAAGCCAATGTTCTGCCATGCTCTGGTGTTAACAATGGTGGGTAGGCTGGACCTGGTTTCTGCCCCCATGGAGTTGAAATGGTACTGATCTAATTGTCTGGAGGACTAGAGTGAGGCTTCCCTGAGAAAAGGGCTCTGTTTAATTTTACTTTTTAGAAGCTAGGTCACAGTACTGCATACTGTGTGACTACTCTGCAGCTATACACACATTAAGTGACCTCCTATATTGCTAAATATAACGACAAAACATCTCTTCATTTAACCCTTAACTATATGAAGAAGGGGGAGAAAGATAAGGCTCTCTACTTCCATCAAGAGTTACAGTCTCTCAAACTCACAGGGGCAGGTTTGCTATGAGTCAGAATAGATTCTACAACAATGAGAGTTTTTTTCTTTTCAATATGAATAAGGAGCCCTTGTGGCGGAGTGGGTTGCTAACTGCTCCTTTAGCTGTCCTTCTAGAAATTTCCTTAATCACCCCCATTCCTTTCACTTCCTTGTGTAAAGTCTGAGTAGATGTACTTAATTGGTAGAACCTTAGCTGCAAGGGAGTTTGGGATAGAGTAGCTGACCTGACGTCCTGTCAGCTTTTGCAGTGGGATGTAGTCTCTGCCTTCTACCAAGATGTATAAAGCAGGAATTTTCCAAAGAAGTTCAGATCCTGGGCAGCATACAAAAATGAGACAACTGTCCCCTACAGGCTCAGGTTAACTGGGTGGGGGTGGGGGGTGGGGCCTTCTGTTGCCACCAAGCAAATGGCAGTGCTGGGATATGCTCAAAAAACAAAACTAAAATTCACTGCCTTTGAGTTTGGTTCTGACTTCTAGTGACCCCACAGGACAGGGTCTGTGGGTTTCCAAGACTGCCATTTTTTGCCGGAGTAGAAAGGCTCATCATTCTACAAAACGGCTTGTGATTTCGAACTGCTGACCATGTGGTTAGCAGCCCAGTGTGCAACTCACTATGCCATCAGGGCTCATTCACTTTTCATGTTGAACTTAACCTTCTATGCTGACTTTCAGTTTCTTAGTACATCTTACATTTTCATCCATTGCCAATTTGGCTAGTGTCTTTTCCTCAGCCTGTGCCACTTTTTGACCCTGTTCTCTGATGCTGAAATTCGACTTCTCTTTCTAGGCCTCTATTGGAAACCTCCCCTGTGAAGCCTTCCCTGATTTTCCATGCAGAATTAACTGGGAATTAATCTTAACATTATCTTCCCAGAGGGTACTATGTATATTATGCTTGGAGTCTGAGATCCTTTTGCTTTACTTGACACTGAGCCACTTGAGGACAGGCAACTTTCTAGGTCGTTGTCCTAAAACCCCTGTACAGTTCAGAATTGTTGCCTGTGAAATATGTCAATTTGAAGACCTAAAGACTGGATAATAATATGGGGAAGCTTAAAAAATTCTGTGGAAAAATTCCACTATCTTCCATTTTTCCATCAACTTTTGTGAAACTCCTTCATATTAAAGGATTCTTTTTCCCCTCATATGTTTGAAATGAGCTTATATGTCCCTTAAGTCTACAAATCCACTTTAATTTTATTTTTCTTCCCTTTTTGAGCCATTCAGACCAATATTTAGATCAGAGCGGCAAGGAACCTGGAGGGGTAGCTTCAAGGCTTCTTGAAGGGAATACACTAAGGCGAGCTTTTCCTGCTTGGTGCTCATGTTCCACGGCCTCTGAAAGCTTTTTCACATAGACTTGCTCTTGGTTTAAAAAAAATGATTTGTGTGACACCCAAGATTTTGTGGCTGTCATCATTAAGTACCTGTATTCCCAGATTTTTTAGTTAATGCCTTTCTGAAATGGATTTAAAAGTCAAATGTGAAAGTCAAACAATAGACTGAGGTGTTATAAAGTAAGATTCCATTTCCAGATAGCTTGGGGGGTAGGGGTGGGGCTTGGAGAGGAAGATTTGTAATTATGCTTCACTGTGAAGATACAGTTTCCAGCAATTTATTACCAGCATTTGGTTCTTTAAATTATATCAATTTCCGTCAAACACTTAGTCAAACAAGTTAATGGTATGAGCTTTCCAGTGGGGTTGGAGCCTCTTACTAGCACTACTCCTGTTTCTAGATTAATTAGCCTCAAGTACAATGTGAATACTCAATTTCACAGACTGCGAGGGCTGTCATGTTGAGCTCAGACTCATGGCTGGTTGGGGACACTATTGTGCTTGACTTGATTTCCCCAGCTGATTTACGGAAGTCTTATTCAGTGTAGGGAATCTTCCATATGTGTGTGGGGTGGTCAGTTAATAATGACTAGAAACTTGACTCAATCACTAGTTGAATGAATGGGTGATGACGCCCTTGTATATTTTAGTCACTTTGTCAAAACACATTGTAATCGTGGTCATTTTCCCCTATCACTCTACAATGTCATAACCAACTGGGGGGTGAAGCCTTGAGACCAGTGGTAGAGAATCACAAATCTCCTCAGTTCGTTTCTCCCCCATCTCTAATCCCCCCTTCCTGTGAAATTCTCGGTACAGTACTTTGTCCCTCTGCTCATGGATGGATTCTAAGTCTTGTTCTAGAGGCACGTGCAACTTATCTCCCTTGGTAATCTTCTCAGTTCCATGAGTACAGGGACTGTGTCTCCTTGATCTTTGTGTCTCTCACAGGACCTCACACTTAAGCCCCTTGAATAGTGGTGAAAGAAGAGTACAAAATGAGTTGTCTGTGGAATATTTGAGAGTACTTGTGCCTTGTCATTTCTATTGGCAAGGTTGTGGGTTAATGGCCGAGAGTTCCCTTTGCTTGCTTTTTCATGAGATATCAGTTGAATTTGAAATGTTTCCTTTGTTGGTGAGGACAAAGTGATGGTTGCTTCTATTGTTCACCTGGAGCTAGCTTAGAGTGTGTCTGAATCAGCATAGGAGCTGTTGATTTGGCCGTGCGCTTTGTGAATTATTTGCATCGGAAAAAGCATCCATTTGCAGAATATTAAAAGTGTGTATTACCATTGGCCACAAACATTCCTTTGTTTTTGCAAAAAGATGGCTATTTTTTAACATCTCGTGTAAATTTGGCTTTCTTTCCAGCTGAGTCAGAATCAGGGGGTTTTGCAGTTTCTCGATCCCGGCGAGAAAAGAAATCAACAAAAGGACGCCAAGAAGCTCTAGAAAGACTGAGAAGAGCTAAAGCTGGTGAAAAGTATAAATATGAGGTAAATAAGTCTTTTGTCGATTTTCCCCCCCACTTTTGTGCTTCATGTAGTTCATGGCAGTCTTCTGTCATTTCTGTCATGTACTCTTGAGAAACATTGACGTATTTCAAGCTTGTTGTAATAAACTAAAAAGTCAAACTCACTTATCAAATCAATTCAGACTCACAGCAACCCTAGAGGACAAAGTAGAACTGCCCTGTAGGGCTGCTGCATTTTTTTTCCCTTCAAAGTTACTCATAGGTTCAAACCACTGACCTTTTGGTTAGCAGCTGAAAGCATCATCAGGCCTTTTTCCATTGACTATATGAAATTGGATGCTGTGTTGAGTCACGTTTTGCAGGTGAGCTATCTGGGAAACCGAAAGCTTAGTGAAGTCATAGTGGTGGGGCTATTATTTGAACCTTTGTTGCAAAGTATGTATTCTTAGCCATGGCCTGTACTGTACTAGAGCCTGGTAGCGCAGTGATGATGAGATGCGCTGCTGACTGCAAGGTCTGTAGTTCGAGTTCACCGGCCACTCTGCGGCAGTTTTGGAGTAGTATATTGGGCAGTTCAGCAAGGAGAATGTGATGTTTTGACAATTGGGTGCATTCATTCAAGTTGTGAAGTGAGCCAGACCACACTCAATGCCATCGAGTTGACGCTGATCCATAGGGACCCTATAGGATAGGGTAGAACTGCCCTTGGGGATTCTTGAGACTGTAAGTATTTTTTTTTTGTTTTCTTTCGTTTTTTTAAATCATTTTATTAGGGGCTCATACAACTCTTATCACAATCCATACACACATCAATTGTGTAAATCGCATTTGTACATTCATTGTCAAAATATTTTCTCTCCACTTAAACCCCCGGCATTAGGTCCTCATTTTTCCCCTCCCTCCCCGCTCTCCACTCCCTCATGAGCCCTTGATAGTTTATAAATTGTTATTTTGTCATATCTTGCCCTGTCTGACGTCTCCCTTCACCCACTTTGCTGTTGTCCGTCCCCCAGGGAGGAGGTCACATATAGTTCCTTGTAATCGGTTCCCTCTTTCCTACCCACCCTCCCTCTACCCTCCCTGTTTCACCACTCACATCACTGGTCCTATAGGGCTCATCCGCCCTGGATTCCCTGCATTTTCAGTTCCTATCTGTACCAGTGTACATCCTCTGGTCTAGCCAGACTTGCCTTTAGGGGAGTAAACGTAGTCTTTCTACCATCGAGCACCTGGTTTTGAGCTACTGAGAGCTTGTGGTTAGCAGTCCAACACATAACTATTACACTGCCAGGGCTCCTGAGCCAGACTACAATGGGTTGCTAAAGGATTATAGTAAAGTCTAAGGTTTTTTTTAAATGGGGGGCTTTTTAAAAAAAGAGTTCTGAGCAGCAGTTCAGATGGCTACCCAGTGCTGGTCATGTACTTTGAAACACTGCGATGCTAATTGTAAGAGTTCATGCTAGGCAGTAGCAACCTTTTCAGGGAGAGAGAGTCAAAATGCTGCTTTGATTCAAAATTATAAAAAAATATAATTTCCTGATGTCTTTTGGATTGTATCTGAGCAATTGCTGAAATAAGAGACAAATAAATAGGCCTGACAGACTTCAACCAATGAAAATAATCTTATCAGTCCCCTGCCCACTAGCCCCTACCCCCGAAAAAAAGTGGGGGAAGACAATCAGTTCAATAATATTAATCAGAGTAGTTTGGATCTGGGTTGTCAAAAACTTAATTTGGTGGGGCAGGCAATCTCTGTGACCAAATTGTGAAAAGGCCAAGTCAATATTTGCCAGTGATCCCTGCAGAGTAGATTAAAAAGGCGTTTGAAAGCTAAACCTAATCCTGTAATTATTACAAACCTTGTCGGTGTGGCAGAGACCCAGGCAGTTATGCCCATTAGACTCAAAGGTCTGTGCCCAAATGTTGGGCTAGACAAGCTGGGGGGCACCATGGGCTTTGGCATAGGGCTGCTAGTTGGGCAGTTGCAGTGGGAGGAGGATGAAGCTGTCTGCTCCTGTAAAGATGTACGAGTGGGAATGGACTCAATGACGGTGGGTAGTGGGTTTCTGAAAGCCTTAGCCCTTCAGATGGGGTTAGCCACCCCCCACCCCTGGCCAAATTTGGATTTTGCATTTCTCTGAACTACTGCAAGAAATGTGGAATTTAAAATGAAGCACAGGGTTCCCTGTTATCTGAAAGTTGAGTGTTCCTGTGGAACCTTTGTGAGTCGAAACGGTGTAAAGCAAAGAAGCAATTTCCAATAATTGATATGGGAAACATTTTTTAGCCTTCCATACTCAGAGCCACTATGCCACCAGAGCTTCTTGAGTGTTCCCAGACTCCCCAAATAACATACATGTTTCAGAGCAAGCAGCACGTAAAACCTAAAATAGCACTAGCATGTTCTGTCCACAGACACAGTTTAAATGCATGGTGGCTTGATTCTGAATGTGGTCCATGGAGGGGGGGCTGTGAAAGCACTCTTGCTGCCTGGGGTATCAGTGACGTGCTGCTGCTTCAGTAGCTCACAGCAAAATCAGTGCTTTTTTTTTTCTTTTTTGCAAAAGCAAAAATTCTCTCAATCCACGCCCCCTCCCTAGTGAAAACAGGTTCTAACATAGGTCTTTCCTGACAGTGGAGTGGCGTAAAGTAAACATTTGAAAAGTGGGGAATAGCTGCATCTTTGAGAGCTTGCCAACCAGCCCTCTAAACTCTCCCCTGAGAAGTCAGCAGTCTGCCACGATGGGCAGCTGCAGAGGTTGTATGGGTCTGCTCTCCTGGGCTTAGGTGGTCTGCTTTGTTTATACCGCTCATTCATGGTGGAGTGGCCCCTAGGCAGTCTGGCAGTCCATGTGAATGGAGCACTCACTGCTCCCCCTGAATTTGCACCTCAGACCAGCTCAGCACTGTGTGAGCTGAAGTCTGCGCGGATGGTGGGAGATCAGTGATCGCGTAAACAGATGCCACTCAAAGCCTATTTCTAGTTCCCCGGTAGAATAGGTAATAGATTTGTTTTGCTAATTTTTGGTTGGGGATGGTTTTCCTTTTGGTTGATTGAATGATTATTAAAATGATCGTCTATTTTTAAAATTTGAGCGTCTATTTGCAGAGCATGCATCCACTTGTGGAGAGGGAGGTGGCAGGCCTTCCAAGTTTGGCAAATATACGAAGAAACCAGTCAAGAAATTATAAGCGAATAATCCCCATAGCAGCTAATGAAGAATTGGCTATAATTCAGTTTGTTTTTTATGAAGTAGATGAGTAATTGATGGTGTGACAAGTGTATTATGCTAATGGAATCATTTAATATCTTATATTAACACCCACCTAAAAGGAATACTAAGTTAATTGATGTCTATTTAAGGAAAACCCTGTAGTGGTGTTGAATGTCAGAACTCATGATTTGGTTGCAGCTACTCCTTCAGGCTGCCATTCCAGTTTTAATTTGATTTAATAAAAAAAAGACTTTTTTTCATCAGAATTGTTTTAACAGTTTCACTCTGCTTGAAGCTTTTTCTCTAACTTGTGTGATGGTAGGTTGAGGACTTCACAAGTGTGTATGAAGAGGTCGATGAAGACCAGTATTCAAAGCTGGTTCAGGCACGCCAGGATGATGACTGGATCGTGGATGACGGTATGTGGGAGGAAACTGGGCCAGAGGTTGTGTTTTGGAGAGTCTTGGGTGGTGGAGCTCTTGCATTACCTGGGCAGATGTGAGGTGCTGGTGTAAATGACCCTTTGATTCTTTTACTCTTTATTCTTCTGGTAGAGTCAAACTACTCAAATGGGCCTCATGACAAACTGGAATCCTGTGGGTAAATCATGCCCTTTGTTTATATAGCTAGGTAGAATATACTTCCTTTGGTTTTCAGTCAGAAAAACTCATGCCGTGGGGATGCTGTTTTTTGGTTCTGGTAATGGTTTGAATACGGTTCTGTTGAGTGATGGGTGTGTGCTTGTTTTTGGTTTCTTGGTCATGGCTGAAATCCTATTGGCCACTTATGGAAATTTGATCCCAATATTATACTTTGTCCTTCCAGATGGTATTGGCTATGTGGAGGATGGCCGAGAGATTTTCGATGATGACCTTAAAGATGATGCTCTTGATGCCGGCCAGAGAGGTACTACTTTTTTTTTTGAAAAAAGACTTTTTGAGACTTACCGAATTGTCTGAAATTTGAGGTGACTTGGTACTCTGATTGTAGTTTCTATTTAAGGACATTTTTATTTTTGAGGTGGGGGTTGGGGTTGGGGTGGTATTCCCGAGGCAGGACCTACCACAAGTAAAACATATAGAATTTGTTCTTAATAGTGAGTGAAGCATAAACATTTCATATCATGGTTATTCAAAGAGCTTGTTCAAAAGCAATGCTCCAAAGGCAGAAAGCAACAGGAAAGCTGGCTAAAGTCAGCAGACACAATGTGGATCAGTTGTTGAACGAGAAACTGATTTTGCTCTGTACACTTCCACTCAAACCACAATAAAATGCCCACAGACAAAAAAGCCAAATGGGAGCCTTGCACACCTCTTGACAGAACATAAGAGCTATGTCCATGGGATACAAGAAGCCAACCCTGGGGGCACTGCAGCAAATCAGGGTGCTGGTTGAGATGGGGAGCAGTTGGTGCTCAGTGGGTTGTGGATGCTTGGCGCGAGGTTTGGGGTGGTTTTTCGGTTAGTGTGGCTGTTTCCTTCTAGGGCAACTGCCAGAAGTACAGGATCCAGGAGTCCAACTGCCAGCACTAGGCAGTAGTGCAGTGGGCACTGGTGAGGGAGCCATGGCAGGTTTTGCCCTGTGCTGGGAGTGAAAGGCTGGCTAACTGTTGGGGTGTGAATGAAATTAGGAAGAGGCAGGAGAGGCACTGGTGGGGCCTGGGGCACTGTCACTCCTTCACTCTGGGAGTTTGGGGCTTTTGAAACCATTAGGGGGAAATAATAAGAATAAGGAGAGCAGGTTTCCCTTAATAAAAACCCAAAACCACCAACTATATGGGACCTGGATGTATCTGTGGTCTAATGTTGCTGGGAGGGAAGTTAGTGATGCATACCTGTGATTGGTTGGTTTGTTTAGTTTATTAGTCTTCTACCTCCAAGGAGTAGGTCACGGCATCATCAAACTATGATCTACCCCTGGCCGTTTTTTTTTTAACAGGTTTATTGAAATGTAATTCACATACCTTGCAATTCACCCATATAAAGTGTACACTTCAGTGGCTTTTAGTAGGTTCTCTGAGTGGTGCATCCATCATCACAAACAATTTTAGAGTATTTTCATTGCCTCAAAAAGAAATAATGGCCTCTCTTTATAAAACCCTCAAACCAGTTTCAAAAAAATATCCATTGAAAATTTATTGTCCATTAGGAAGCTTAACTTAAAAATCTGCCAGCATAGTAAAAAGATATGTTATCTGTGTTCAGGGTGGATCAGATGGCAAAATATATATTTTAAAAAATATATTCCATTAGTCCACATCCTTTATAAAAGTTTTGTATGTATGTATTTTTCGATCAGTACCTCCATCTCATGTATAAATCCATGATTTCTACAGTACCTCATCAAAATGAAAACAAACAAACAACAACAAAAAAAACCCTTACACATCTTGACATCAATTTCACACCTATAAACTTTCAAGGGTGTGTTTGTTAAAAGTGCTGCAAAATATGCGAACATCTTTGTCTATTATCTCTAAAAATTAGCAAGATGTCTGCTGCCACACTGAGACTGAGCTTCCTTTAACCATCACATTTTAAAAAGATATTAGAGGTGTTGTGTTTGCATGAGTTTCAAAAGGGAGATAACACATGGAGATCAAGACCATGATTGAAAACAAATGGGCTATGGAGGTGATACTATGATGGAGAGGAAACGTGATTTGAAAAGTCAGCCATGAAAGACTGGTAAAAATAGTAGTAATTAATTATGTAAGCTTGAACTTGAATATATACTTAAGTGGTACTCGGTAGTGCTGTGGGTTAGGCGTTGGACTGCTAACCCATAAGGTCAGTGGTTCAAACCCACCAGCTGCTCCAAGGGAGAAAGAAGAGGCTGTGCACTTTTGGAAAGATTTACAGGCCTGAAAGCCCTACATAGGATCATTGTTAGTTTGAATTGACTTGATGGCAGTGGGTTTGGTGGTGTTTGGGCCATCTGTACTTTAGTATGTTAGGCTAGGCTCTCTAGAAAAGCAAAGCCAGTGATAATATTAAACAGAATACATTTATTTATTTATTTTCCCTCCCGCACCCTCGTGAATCCTTGATAATTTACAAATTATTTTTATTTTCATATTTTATACCGTCCGCTGTCTCCCTTCTCCCATGTTTCTCTTGTTTGTCCCCCTGGGGTGGTGGGGTTGTACGTTGATCATTTTGATTAGTTCCCCCTTTCTCCCTGCATCTTCTCCCTACCCTCCTGGTATGGCTACTCTCATTATTGGTCCAGAGGGGTTTATCTGTCCTGAATTCTGTGTCGAGAACTCTTATCCATACTAGTATGCATGCTCTGGTCTAGCCAAATTTGTCAGGTAGAACTGGGGTCATGATAGTAGGGGAGAGGAAGCATTAAAGAATTAGAAGAATGTTGTGTGTTGCCTCAGTACTGTACTGCACCCTGGCTGGCTCATCCCTTCCTTGTGACTCTTCTGTGAGGGGATGTCCAATTGTTTACTGATGGGCTTTGCGTCTCCATTTTGACACCCCCTCATTTGCATCAAAATAGTTGTTTAAACAAAATACGTTTAAAAGGATATATATTTTGTACTCTGATCCTCCCTGAACACAGATAACATATCTTTTTACTGTGCTGGTTTTGCTTCTCTCTCTCTCTCTCAGACACACACACACACACACACACACACACACACACACACACGCACACACCTGCCTCCTAGGGACTGACTTGTTTTTTTTAAAAATCATTTTATTAGGGGCTCATATGAATCTTATCACAATCCATACATACATCAATTATGTAAAGCACATTTGTACATTCATTGCCCTCATTCTCAAAACATTTGCTCTCCACCTAAGCCCCTGGCATCAGCTCATTTTTCCCC